GCTGCCCACGAGCTGGGTCTTCCCCGTGATCAAGACTTGGGCCTCCGCTTGGCTCACAAGTTATCGAATAAGTTACTCATCGGGAAAACGGCGGTGCACCTTTGGGTGTAACACTTGCGCTGACAGGCAGTGCCACTACATGCGTTGCCACCGTCTGGTTCGTGCTGTCGGCCGTGCACTGGGTCGCTCACTCCCTACCTTTCTTCATGAGCGACTTTGCCTGACGGCACCGTGTGTGGAACGGGTGGAGGAGCTTGTGGTGATGTACACTACGTATCATACTGTCCGTTATCGTGAGTGGGTTTCCCCTACTGTTCTGAACTCGGCGACTCGGGCTGCTGTCAGAACTCTGAGAATGGCGTCGCCAACAGACCAACTGGAGAAGAAATGGAAGCCGCCGCCGTTCCTCATACCGATGCTGCGCACGGTCTCCGATGATCTGTCCACCTCCTCGGCTGACGACCCCGACGTCGACCATGCCGCTCGGGCTGCTGCGCACGATGAGAGCTTGGCCCCAGGACGGTCACCATGCCTGACACCGCGGCTCGTTCCTACGACGCCAAGCCCTGGCACCCCGTCGACGCTGATTGCCACGCCCGAACGTGTTGAACATAGTGACGGCGGCGACGTCAACGCTACTGGCAGAGCGCAAAGTCCTGGGCAATGGTGCTCCTCGAACCCGGTGCTGCAGGCTCGGGTAAACTGCGAGTTCAAGGTCCCCAGCTCCGTGATGTCGATGGCTGTGAGACGCTCCCGTCGTGGCCACCTTTTGTCGACGACTCCTATTTCCCCGACTTCTACGCTCCCGCCCTGCTCTTCGCCGGCCTTGCCTGGGTTTTCCCCACGCTCGCCACGATCTCTTTCTGTTACTCCTTCGTGGACGATTTCCGCGGGTGCTACGCGAATGGCGGCTCCCTCATCGTGTGTGACCACTGGTCGGCCGTCTTCGACGACCTCGCGGGCTCAGAGACTGTCTCCTCCCACTCCTCGTTCGGCGTCGTGCACCCCTTCTCGCCCTGAGGCCTCTGCTGGAATAGCCCATTCCCCGTTGCCTGTCTTTCTCACCCCCGCTGCTCGTGCCACTTATTTTCCCGACGCCTCCCCAGTGCCCCGTGCTACGGGCAACGACTCGTCTCAGTTGCCTGGCCTCCGTCCTCGTGTTGTCTCTCCCCTGTCCTTTCCTCGTTCGAGCACTGCTGCTGCTTATGCGTGCGCCCCTCCTGCTCCTCCTCTGAATAAATTGACGGTTCCCGCCTGCTCGAGGCTGAGGGGCCTCTGATCATGGAGACGACACGCGCCCCCTCCTACGCTGCGCTCCTCCTCCTCCTCCTCCTCCTTCTCCTCCTCTCCAGATATCGCGAAGGAACACTTGCCCCTCTCGTGTCCGATCCTTGCCTCCTCCCCCATTGGCCCGCTAACTACGCACTGCGGGCTTCGCTACTCTGACGATCCAGGCTGCGGAAAAACACTTTTTGCGTCGGCGGGTAGGCAGAGTCATCGCGCTGGCGATAGGTCGCAGAACGGGGATACCGATGAGCGAATTGTGCCACCATGCAGGGAGAAGAGCGCGGACAAAAACACGCGAGACGCGAGACTCACGACGTCGGATGTTTGAGCCGCCCACGCTCACTCAGCCTGTGGGGTCCCCCTCGCCGCGGCCGGACGCAAACCAGAAAGCTTCTTGGTTTGGGATTTCGGGAGGGGCCTCGGGGCCGAGTTTGTTCCTCCTCCTCCTCCTCCTCCTCCTCCTCCTCCTCCTCCTCCCCCTCCTTCCCCTCCTCCTCCTCCTCCTCCTCCTCCTCCTCCTCCTCCTCCTCCTCCTCCTCCTCCTCCTCCTCCTCCTCCCCCTACTCCTCCTCCTTCGCCCTGCTCCGATTTTTGGTGGGGGGTATCCCGGCACTGTCTCCCTTGCCTGTGCGGGTGGCTTCTTGGGGGCTGCGGCTGCGGCGGCGCGCGCGTCTCCGGCGCCAGGCGAGGCACAGGCGGCCGCACGCAGCGCGCGCAGTTTGCCAGCGCGTCGGGCGCACGCAGCGCGCGCAGGGCCTGGGCGAGGGCCAGACTCACGCACGCGCCGCCAGGTGTCTTCCCGAAGCTCGGCCCTCATATGCAAATCGGGGAAACGTAAGACTCGAGTAAGCCGGAACTCGGGTTTGCCGACTTTTTTTTGACGAGCGCGTCCTGGATTTTGACGGTCCCAGTCTCGCGGGATGTCTGCAGCGGGAGCCCGCGTCAAATTTCAGATTGGGTCTCGTCATTTTTATGATGGCCCCGTCAGGCCAACCCGAGTCCCCCGTACCCGAGTCTTACGTCTCCCCGATTAGAGAAAGGCTGTTCGAGACATCGAGAGTCCACGAGATTCAGAGGAATCATGCCTGACCGCCGCCCTATCAGAACCTGCCGAGGCCGCGCGAATCCGCCGCGTCATGCCGCTTTTCTCCGGTCCGTGGCCGCGCGGGCTGGGCGTCCACGCGCGCGTTCGGCGCGCGGCCTCGGGATCTGCTGCGGTTGCGGATCAAACAGCGTGCGCTTCCAGTTTGTGTATTCCGACGCGAGGTTCATCATTGCGAGCGTCCGGGCGCGAGCGGCCGGATGCGACTGAATCCGAGTATATGGGGGCACGAACATGATTGAGTCGGAGTATGAGCGGCTTTGAGCATGATCGAGCCTGACTCTGCCTGACACATGACAACTGGTTAGTCTGCGGTCTGACTTTGTGTGAGTTGCAGGTTCGCAAGCTCGAACAAGGCAGCGGGCCCAACCGTCGTTCCCCTTCAAACAATGTTCAACGGCGACGCAACTTTATATACCTAGCAAACGCAATGCGCTCGCGGGCGGCCCCAGCTGCCGACGCATTGGCGAGGGGGGTCAACCGCGGGCAGCGCACAGGCGTTGCGCGGCGTTGCGGCGAGAGGACGGTGGTTGGCCAGGCAGCGCCGCTGTCAACCACGGAGAGCAGCGCGTGGAGGCGAGGGCCGCGTTTGTCCGCCTTCGCGTGGCCCCGCTGCCGCTGCCGCTCTCTTGCAACGTTGCGAGCGAGACATGCGGCGTACCCGCGCGGGAACGCCACTTAGATGCGACGTGTGCACCAAGCTTGGGAGAGTGCCACGCGTCGCAAGTTCGCGCGCCTCCCCGCTCCGAGCGACTTGGCGAACAGTCTCCACAATCAGGCGAAACCTGCGCGGCGCCAAGAGCGAGAACGATGCGTCTCGCCCGCTCGCGCGTCGACGAATTGGCGGGCGAACAGTGCGCGTCGCATTCAAGCGGGAGATCGCTTTCCAAGGAAAGAAGCACGGCGCCGAGGAGGTACCGATAGTTCGCCTTTTCGCGGGCGATGTGCGTCCCACCCCATCCCCGCCTCGAGTCTTGGAGCGTCGACGACAAAACGTACCGAGCGAAAGGGGGACCTGCGTTTAGGAAAGAGCCGCCAGACGTTTTTGTTGTTGTTTCTGTTTGCCAGTTTGCCGCGAGTCGGAATATACAGCCAAGGCGCTGAAAGAAAGACCGCCTCGGGTTCAGAAGGGGCTCTATTTTTCGGGTCGTTCCCTGGACAAGCCGTGGCCACAAACGCCCGTTCGTTCCTTCTTCAGCGTTTCTTGTGGTAGCACGACTACTGTATGCGAAGATGGAATCAAGATCGGAGAGAGCGAGCCAGGGTATAAGTGTGTCCGGCTATGGGATTACTAGTGGGCCGGAGCAGGAACGGGACTGGTGAAGAGTAGTTCTGAATACGAGCGTGTCTTAGCACCCGCGTCGAAGTATGAACAGGCCTGATTCTGAGATAGTTCGAGTATAGGTGGCCGGGTATCAGTGGTTTTGGGTATGAGCGTGTCTGAGTATGAGTGGATCTGAGCGTGAGTGAAACTGAGAGTGGAGAAACACTGCTTCTTGGAGGCGTTGAGTCCCCTAGGGTCTCCCGCGCCCTCTGCGCCTGATGGAGCGTCTCAAGGCCTCCTCGAGCCCCCTGGGTCTACAAGGTTCTCTTGGCACATCTATTGGAATCCTGGGGCCTCTGGGTCCGTTTCGGGTCTGTTGGGGCCCCTTGAAGTTTCCTGGAGCCTTCTTACCAGGGTTTCATGGGGACTCTCGGGGCATCCACGGGCCTCCGTCGTCCTGCTTGTGTTCCCTGGGGCCACTTTGGGCCTCCCGGGGCCTCCCTGATTTTCTTGAGGGCCCCTTGGGCCTTTCGGGGCCTTCCTGAATTTCCCGGGGCCTCCTGGAGCCTCCTGGGGGTTCCTCAGGTTTCCTTAGACTTCCTGGGGGGGTCCTATTGGCTTTCTGGGGTTTCGCATGGCGCCTTGGAACCCTTCTACTTTACCGTGCATCAGCCCACCCACCCACCCTGGAGATGACCATCGACCCAGCGGTCGCAGTCCCCCAGTCGCGATTTGTCGAGGGCGCCCGTGGGGGCGTCCGCACACATGCTTCGGGTCATGCTGCGCGCCCGAACTGTTGCACGACGCGAGGGGCAGGGCTCGAGCTAAACGGTATCTGGGCGATCTCGTGGGCCGTTTTCGTTTTGAGCTCGTTCTGCAGCGAGGGTGGAACAAAGGCGGAACGAGGGGCAGCGAAAGCAAAACGAACACCGAAAACATTGTTTAGCTCGAGCCCTGGCGAGGCTGTGCGGTAGACTACACGTAAGAATGAACTTTCGCCAGGGTGACTTGTGGTGCGGGCCCAAGGGGGCCCCCCGATCGCTGAACGCGATGCGATCGAAGCGGCTTGCGCGCCTGAGGGTGCCCCCGAAAAGGGCCCCCACTTGGCCGCGCACTAGAGGTCACTCTTGCCTGGGGTCACTCTTGCCTGGGGTCACCCTTGGGGAGACACAGAGGCACCGATACCGCCACTCCTCGGCCCTCTCCCTGGGCGCGTTCTGGCGAATCCGGCGGTGGCGACGAAGGGCCTCCCAGGAGGCTCCCGCAGGGGAACGAGGCAAAGGACGCCGGAGTCTTGCGCGTAGCCGGTGCGGGCAGGCGGGAGCGAGGCCCGCCGCGCCGCCGCCG